CTTCACCTGTACTTCATAGACTTCAGTTTGAGAGGGGAAGGACCCCAGTGTCTTTTCATAATATAAGACAAAGGGAAAATATCTTGTGGAGAAAGTGGTTTGTCTCCAAAGAATGCTATTTTTAAAAAATTGTTCCTTGTTAACTGCATATATGTTCACTTATCTTTCAGAAGAATGAAGAAATAGATATTCCATTTGGAATTTAGGTATCTATCAGAAAGTTCTCAGTTATGAGCAATAGATTTTTAAATTAAAATAAATCATCATGGCTAGGTTTCGCGAACGAAGATTTGGGAAGGCACTATCCACATTTGCTACAGGCACGCTGGTGGTTTATGAGGCCAATACGTGACAGACATATCCGATTGCAAAAGGCACAGCAGAAAGACTCCTTAGATGGTGTATTCTGCAAGACACGGTTCTTTCTGCGTTGCCTTTTTTCCTCGAGAGTGATCCTGCATGTGTTCTCGAAGGAGACAGTTGCGTTATAGATGGCGTGTCTCCAGGCCTCCTGATTTGATGCCAGAGTAGACCAATTATGGTGATCAATAAGGCCAAGGTTGAGATGTTGTTTCAGGGAGTCCTTGTATCTTTTCTTTGGGGCTCCTCTCTTGCGGCAGCCAGTGGCAAGTTCACCATAAAGCAAGATCTTAGGGAGGCAGTGGTCCTTCATCCTTGAGACGTGCCCTGCCCATCACAGCTGCGTTCTCAACAACATGGTCTCAATACTTGTGACAGTTGCTTGCTCTAGTACAGATGTATTGGTCACATAATCTGACCAGCGGATGTTAAGGATTGTACGGAGGCAGCGTTGATGGAAGCGTTCTAGGAGACACAGGTGGTGGCGGTAGATGACCCATGATTCGGAACCATATAAGAGAGTAGACAACACTATGGCTTTGTAAACACTGATCTTGGTGCTTTTCTTCAAGTGTTTATTACACCATACTCTTTTGTGGAGTTTTCCAAAAGCACTATATGCCTTTGCTAACCTGTTGTCTATCTTTCCGTCGATCTTACCGTCTGAGGAGATGAGGTTACCGAGGTAATTAAACTGTTGGACTGATTTGAGCTCTGATTGGCCAATGGTGATGTGGGGATGATGGGGGACTTCCTGAGGTGCAGGTTGATGGAGGACCTCTGTCTTCTTTAAGCTGACTTCCAGCCCAAAGAGCTCAGCAGTGTCTGCAAAGTAGGATGTTAAACGCTGCAGGGCTGCTTCTGTGTGGGCAACAAGGGCGGCGTCATCAGCATAAAGCAGTTCCCGGACAAGATGGTTTAAGGTCTTGGTGTGGGCCTTCAGTCGCCTTAGATTGAATAGACTTCCATCAGTATGATATCGAATGTAGATACCGTCCTGATCATTGAGGTCTGCTGTGGCCCTTTGGAGCATCATACTAAAGAAGACAGTGAATAGGGTTGGAGCAAGAACGCAGCCTTGTTTCACACCATTCTTAATTAAAAAGGGCTCAGAAAGTGTGTTGCCATATCTGACTTGGTCATGCTGATCCTCATGGAGTGAGATGATCATTTTAAGGAACTTGGGGGGACAACCTAAATGTTCCAAAATCTGCCACAGACCTTTTCTGCTCACAGTATCAAAAGCCTTGGTGAGGTCAACAAAGGTTACATAGAGACCTTTGTTCTGTTCCCTACACTTCTCTTGCAGTTGTCTGAGGACAAATACCATGTCTGTGGTGCTCCTGTTGGCTCTGAAACCACACTGACTTTCAGGAAGAATTCCTTCTGCTATAGTGGGTATTAGTCTGTTCAAGAGTATTCTTGCCAGGATTTTGCCAGCAATGGAGAGCAGAGTAATACCACGATAGTTTGAGCAATCTGATTTAATACCTTTCTTCTTATACAAAGTGATGATGACTTTTTCACGAAGGTCTGATAGTAGTTCACCGAGCTCCCAACAGCGCACCACAAACTCGTGAAATTTGGTGTGGAGTGCAAGGCCCCCATGTTTCCAGACTTCAGGTGGAATTCCATCAACCCCAGTTGCCTTGCCGATTTTCACCTGCTGTATGGTCTTGAGGGTTTCTCCTAAAGTGGGGGCAGTATCCAATTCATATTTTACTGGTTGTTGTGTGATAGACTGAATTGCTGAATCTTGGACTACACGGTTGGTACTGAAAAGAGTCTGAAAGTGTTCAGACCATCGATTCAGAATGGAGGTTTTATCTGTTAGAAGGGTTTGACCATCAGTGCTGAGTAGAGGGCTTTGTACCTGGTATGTAGGCTCGTATGTTGTTTTCAAGGCCTCATAGAAACCTTTGTGATCACCTGTATCTGCGCATAATTGAGTTTTTTCAGCTAGATCGATCCACCACTTGTTCTGGATGTCACGGAGTTTCTGTTGGAGCTTGTTGCATGCAAGACAAAAGGTTGTTTTTCTTGCGTGACAGGATGGCAGTGCAAGGTGTGCTTGGTGGGCGGTTCTCTTCTTCCTCAACAAGTCTTGGATTGCTTGGTTGTTTTCGTCAAACCAGTCCTTGTTCTTCTTGAGGGAGAACCCTAAGGATTCTTCAGAGGATTGCAGGATGCTGTTTTTAATATGGTGCCAGATTGTTTCAGGAGAGGAATCTGCAGAAGCTGTGGGAATGTTTTCGAACTTAGTTTGAAGGTTTGCCTGGAAACTGTCTCTTACTGTGGTTGATTGGAGATTGTTAACTTGGAGTCTTCTCCTTGGGATGTTGCCCCTTTTTGGTTTGAATTTGAGCTTGAAATTGAGTTTACAGCGCACAAGCCGATGGTCTGTTTAGGATTCTGCGCTGGGCATCACGCGGGTATGGTGGACATCATGGGCATCTCTCTGTGCACCAAGACATAATCGATGAGGTGCCAATGCTTAGAACGGGGGTGCATCCGGGTTGTCTTCAGACTATCTTTCTGCTGAAAGATAGTATTAGTGACGGTGAGTTGTTGCTCTGCACAGAATTCTAGCAGAAGTCGACCATTATCGTTGCAGTTTCCAACACCATGCTTGCCTAATATTCCTTTCCAGGTTTCAAAATTCTTGCCTACTCTGGCGTTGAAATCACCAAGGATAATGATCTTATCGTCTGCAGGAACCTTTTGGGTAAGGAGGTGCAGGTCAGTGTAAAATTTATCTTTTTCAGCAGGGTCAACTTGGAGTGTTGGGGCATATATACTAAAGATGACAACATGTTGCTTGTTGTTTAGTGGAAGGCGTAGGGAGATAATGCGGTCAGAGTGACCTGTCGGCAGATTTTCGAGTTTAGGAACAATGGAGTTTTTGATCATCACGCCCGGGGGCACAACCGCGCGGGAAAGGTTCCCGGTAGCCCGGGGGCCCCGGTCACGAGGCACGGGAAACCCCCCCAGCAGGGGGTCCCGCCCCCGGAGCGCGGGAAAGGCTCCCGGCAGCCCGGGGGACCCGGTCACGAGGCACGGGAAGCCCCGCCAGCCTAAAATAAATAATAACAGCAATATATGTTGCTAATATTATTTCTTCCTTTGCAGATATTTATAAACAACAAGTGGCATGATTCAGTCAGCGGTAAAAAAATTCAAATCTTTAACCCTGCAAACAAAGGGGAAATATGTCAGATTGAAGAAGGTGATAAGGTAGGGTTTTCTTTCTTGCTTTTAACCTTAGCTTTGAATTTAATTCTGTATCTTAAAATCAGGAAGACAAACGACATTCTGTGTTGATGTAAAATAGTACCTCAGACATATCTACTTCTTTATATATACATTCTGAAGACCTAGTGTTATAGGTTATAAATCTGAGAGAGGAATTTTCCTTTCCCTGTTTCCCTGTAAGAGAAACAGAGTTTCGAATAGGGAAGGGGGAAGGGAGGTAATTAGCCTTACAAAGGAACTAGCTCGCCAGACTGCATTCCTCGCTGATGGACCATCAGAGAGGCTGGGGAGAGAGGGGGTGGCTGGTTCTGTTCAGAGGGGAGAGGGGCAGATAGTTGGGTCCTCTTTTGAGGACGGAGACAGGGTCTGTGTTTGGGGCATTTGGAGAGAAGACCTGGAAGCCTTTTTGTTTGGTTTCCTGTCCTGGTCAGCCCTGACTGCTGGCTTCAGCTTGCCTGCGAGCTGTCTTTTGTCTCCAGCCCGGACCTGGTGTGAGTTTTTTTGCGGCGCCATCAACTGAGAACCACAGTGAGTCCTGTTGGGGGGCAAACTGCTTTTCCTTACCCCTTTCCTTCCATTGGGGGAGAGGAGGGTCCCCTATCTTCTTTTCGGCTCCTCCTGTGACCCGAGACCAACCCCCCAGACCCCTCTCCCCGTGTGGTGATCACCAGAGCCCAACAGCGCCCCCTGCAGACCACGACAGAGAACTGCAGGTCCTACACCTCCAGCAATCCAACAGGGCCCCCTGCAGACCACGATTAGGACTGCGCTAAAGGACAGAGAAGTATTCATTTAGACTTTTTTTTTTTGTTTTGTTGGTTTTTTTTCTAGGATTGTTGACTGGTTTTTTTGTGTTTTGTTACTGTTTTTGCCAACATACATATATCTTTTAATAAAGGGTTGTTATTTCTTCTGGTTTTTTGCACACTTCCTCAATTAAAGCCCCTTAATTTTGAATTTACAATTGCTGAGAGAGAGAAGTTTGGTCTATCTCATAACTCATCCTCTTTAGCAAACATTCCAGTCCCATCAGACTGAGACACCTAGTGCTTAGCTTTTTTTAATAAACCTTAGTGTTATACATAAAATGGCACAGGAAAACTATACTTAAGACCTTACTCATCCAAGGTTATGAGGAAATAATCTTTGTCATATTTATTAATTATATTTTTTATCTGCAATCATTGATAAGGGCATCTAGTAGCTTTACTGTTTTTTTAGCTAGCTTTTCCTGTCTTTTCCTCACATGGTCATGCAATCTGTTCATAACACATATTACATAAGGTCTTTCACTACAGATAGCATAATAAAGTGGACAAACACTCAACTCTGTTGGTATTTTCCCATGATAGGTAAAATGAGAAAATGTTAAGGGAATTATGACCACCCACATTTACAGCTGTGAATTTCTCAGTACTGTGCTCTTCCACAGCTTGATTTTCCAAAAACTATGTTGGAACATAGTCCTAAAAAGACTCTGGAGGTGAAAGTCACCTATCAAATAGAGATTAATTCCACTAAAACTGATTTCTTTCCTGCATGTTGATGTGATCAATTTAAGCAGAGGACTAAAGAAGTTCTTGACAAACATAAACAAACATTCCTTTTGAATGAATATGCCACTTTGACATGCACAATCTATGTGGTCAGATGGGGTCCACGCAAGGGTACTGAGGGAGATGGTGGATGAGCTCTCCATAGAATAGAATCATCAAGGTTGGAAGAGACCTTTAAGATCATCAAGTCCAACCATCAACCCAGCACTACCACTGTAACCCCTAAACCACTAAACCACATCACCCAGCACCAGATCCAGATGCCTCTTAAACACCTCATGGGATGGTGACTCCACCACCTCCCTGGGCAGCCTATTGCAATGCCTGACCACTCCAACAGTGGAGATTTTTCTTGTATCTAATCTGAATCTCCCCGCCTCAGCTTAAGGTCATTTCCTCTGGTTCTCTCACTGTAGGCATGGTAGAAGAGACCAGTCCCCACCTCACTACAACCTCCTTTCAGGTAGTTGTAGTGATGAGGTCCTCCCTGAACCTCCTTTTCTCAAGACTAAGTAAACTCTGCTCTCTCAGCCATTTCTCATAGGACATGTTTTCTAAACCTTTAACAAGCCTTGTTGCCCTTTGCTGGACATGCTTCAGCACCTCAATGTCCTTTTTAAAGTGAGGGGCACAAAACTGAATACAATATTCAAGATGCAGCCTCACCAATGCCAAGTACAGCAGGATGATCACTTCTCTAGTCCTGCTGGCTACACTATTCTTGATACAGGCCAAGATGCCATTGGCCTTCTTGGTCACCTGGGCACACTTCTGGCTCATATTGAGCTGGATGTTCACCAGCACTCCCAAGTCCCTTTCTGCCGAACAGCTCTCGAGCCACTCCTCCCCCAACCTGTATTGTTGCATGGGGTTGCTGCCACCCAAGTGCAGGACCCGGCACTTTGCCTTATTGAACCTCGTGCAATTGTCCTTAGCCCACTGATCTAGTCTGTCCAGGTCTCTCTGTAGAGCCTTCCTACCCTCAAGCAGATCAACACTCCCACCCAACTTAGTCGTCTGCAAATTTACTGAGGGTGCACTTGATCCCCACATCCAGATCATCAATAAAGATGTTAAACAGGACCAACCCCAAAACTGAGCCCTGAGAAACACCATTAGCAACTGGCCACCATCTGGATTTAGCTCCATTCACCCCAACTCTCTGGGCCTGGCCATCCATCCAGTTTTTTATCCATCAGAGTCCACCCATCCAAGTTGAACTGCTGCATCTGCCCTGACTGATGTGCTCGCACTGTTTGCTCACTCTGTTTGCTGTGCTCCTGGTTGCTCATGCTCCCTAGAGTCGTTTAAATCTCCCATGCTGCTCCCTGCTCCTCCCCCTCCTTGCCTGATTGGCTGCTGTGAACTTTTGGGTATGGACATGATTCTGGGCTGTTGTTTGGGAGTCCCTGAACACAGGAACCCCTCTGTACAGCCTGATCTAAAATTCACCCTTAAAACTTACCTCAGTCGTCGCTGTTGTCACTGCTGTTGCTTTGCTTACTGACCCCTCCAATCATTTACTAGCAGTCTTGGCTAACTGGGGAGGTCCCAGTTGACTGGAAGTTAGCAAACGTGATGCCCATCTACAAGAAGGACTGGAAGGAGGACCTGGGGAACTGCCAGTCTGACCTTGGTGCCATGGAAGGTCATAGAACAGATCATTCTGAGTGCCATTATGGGGCACGTGCAGGACAACCAGGGGATCAGGCTCAGTCAGCATGGGTTTATGAAAAGCAGGTCGTGTTTGACCAACCTGATCTCCTTATTTAACAAGGTGACCCGCTTAGTGGACGAAGGAAAAACTGTAGATGTTGTCTGCCTAGACTTTAGTAAAGCCTTTGATACTGCTTCCCACAGCATTCTTCTGGAGAAATTGGCTGCTCATGACTGGATAAAAAACTGGCTGGATGGTGAGACCCAGAGAGTGCTGGCCAGTCACAAGTGGGGTTCCCCAGGGCTCAATACTGGGGCCAGTTCTGTGTCCAAACAAGAGGAATGAAACTGGTGAAGGGTCTAGAGAATAAGTCTTATGAAGAGAGACTGAGGGAGCTGGGGTTGTTTAGCCTGGAATAAAGGAGGTTCGGGGAGACCTTATCGTCTTCTACAACTACCTGAAAGGAGGTTGTACTGAGGTGGGTGTTGGTCTCTTCTCCCAAGTAGCAAGTGATAGGAAGAGAGGAAACGACCTCACATTGTGTCAGGGTAGGTTTAGATTGGATATTAAGAAATATTTTTTCACTGAAAGGGTTATCACGTATTGGAACGGGCTGCCCAGGGAAGTGGTTGAGTCACCATCCCTGGAGGTATTTAAAAGACATGCAGATGTGGCACTTGGGGACATGGTTTAGTGGTGGACTTGATAGTGTTAGGTTTACAGTTGGACCTGATGGTCTTAAAGGTCTTTTCCAACGTAAATGAATCTATGATTCTATGCTTCTATGAAAACTGGCAACCAAATAAATATTTGGATGAACTCTGAGAATGTAAGTCTGAGAAGTGCATGTTCTATTTCTAGTTGACAGTTAGAATGATAACTGGGTGTCATGGTTTAGCCCCAACCAGCAGCCAAGTCCCACGCAGCCACTCGTTCACTCCCCCACCAGTGGGACCAGAGAGAGAATTGGAAGGGTAAAAGCTAGAAAAGTCATGGGTTGAGATAAAGACAATTTAATAGGGAAACCAAAAGCTGCATATGCAAGCAAAGAAAACAAGGAATGTATTCACTGCTTCCCATGGGCAGGCAGGTGTTCAGCCACCTCCAGGAAAGCAGGACCCCATCACACATAACGATTACTTGAGAAGACAAACGTCATCACTTCAAATGCCCCCTTTCCTCCTTTTCCCCCCCACTTTATATACTGAGCATGATGCCATATGATATGGAATATGCCTTTGGTCACTTTGGGTCACCTGTCCCAGCCATGTCTCCTCCCAACCTCCCATGTACCCCCAGCTTCCTTGCTAGCGTGGCAGTACAAAAAGCAGAAGAGGCCTTGGCTCTGTGTAAACCTGCCCAGCAATAACAAAAACATCTCTGTTACCAACCCTGTGTTCAGCACAAATCCAAAACACAGCCCCATACCAGCCACTGTGAAGAAAATGAACTCTACCCCAGCCAAAACCAGCACACTGGTCTTGAAAATAATATAGGTTTTATAATTAATGCTTTGGTTCATGCAAATATTTATCTGCTTTTCTATACTTTCCCTTCCAGACTGAATTCTGTGAGGAGCAAGGAAAGTGTGACAATGACCTGAGCTGGGCTGGTGTCAGTGCCCAATGATCAATTGTGTTGCTTCTCCTGTCCTGAGTACCCATCCCGATGGAATGGAGCCCAAGGTCTGGAGAAACGGGAAAATGGGATCTGTGAAAGCGTATGAAATAGTCAGATATGGGATTCCAGTATGATGCAAATGGTATGGAATAAGGGGTGGAGATTGTATTGGGTCTGGTTGAGATGGTGTTCATTTCCCCATGCAGTGCTGTGCTTTGCATTGGGAGCTAGAAAGGTGTGATAACACACCAGTGTTTTGGCTACTGCTGAGAGCAGCATCAACACTGTAACATTCCTTTGTCAATCAAGGGCAAGATCCTGGGAGGGGACACAACCAGACCAGCTTACCCAAACTAACCAGAGGGATATTCCATACCATATGACGTCAGCTCAGATATAAAAGCTAAGGAAAGGAGAAGGAAGAGGGGGCATTTGTGGTTTACAATGGTTTCCTGCTGAGAAACTGTTATGCATACTGAAGCCCTGCTTCCCGGGAAGTGGTCAGACATCACTTGCTAATGGGAAGTAGAAAATAAACCTTGTTATTTTCCACTTCATTCGTGTGCATGTAAACTTTCACCTTTGCTTTAGAAAACTGCCTTGTCTTAACCTACAAGTCATTTTCCATCTTATTCTCTCTCCTCTGTCTGGTTGGGAAGGGAAGTGATAGAGTGGCTTGGTGGGCACCTGATATCCAGCCAAGGTCAACCAAACAGTCTTTTTGGCACCCGAACTTGGGGCAAGACAAAAGCAGTTACATATATATATATTGCATGCTATTGTAATAGTAGCTATTGAATAGCAAGCTCCTGTGCAGGACACAGTGTTTGTCAGTTGCACTGCTTATCTCTTTATTTTGCTGAGTTTGGGAACATACTAATATAAACAATGGTTCCGTGTTTGCCCTTACACTGACAGGAGTGTCATGCTGGGGGAGATATCATCTGGGGATGATAGAGGAATACACCCTCCCCTCCCTGCCCAAGATGGATATGAATGGCTTTATAATGAAGTCTCCCATGGTCTTTGTTCATCCTTATGTAAGCTGTTTAATACTGTTAATATTACTAATACTGTTGGTATGCTATGGAGTTCGTGGAATCTGGTGTTATCCAGGTGTAAGAGAAAACAAACTTTGAGTGAAGATATATTGAAATGTGCCCTGAGTGGCAGGGTGTGTGGAGGGATTTGGGCAGGTTACTAGGGTGGTTGACACCTCCCATTACCTGGGCAGGTTACTAGGGTGGTTGACACCTCCCATTACCTGGGATTTCACACCTGAACAGGTATTCAACTCTGGCAAACTGAAACATCACCTGATGGAAGGGTGCCTTGCCTACCCCGATCAAAACCAGCAGCTTCTCACCCTATACTGAGGCCTAACCCATGCTTATCGAGCCATAGTTCACTACTCTCAGAGGACTGTAGTGGAGGCAGGGACCCAAACTGCATTGGAGGACATGATGGGTGAGATAGGCACTCAAACCATGAGAACTACAGTAATTGCCCCAGTAGTGAAAAGGAAAAAAGGGATAAGGCAAGCTACAGGTCCATATCATCAATTAGTAAGGGAGGAAGAAGAAGAAGTCCCTCCTGGACTTCTGCAGGGCAGATTTCGGTCTACTCAGAAGACTGGTTCAGATGGTACCTTGGGAAATAGCCCTTGAAAACAAAGGGGTCCAGGAGGGATGGACATGCTTCAAGAAGCAAGTCTTGAACACACAGGAGCAGGTTGCCCCAGTGTGACAAAAGGCAAACCGGCGGGGAAGACAGCCAGCCTGGTTGAACAGGGAGATTTTAAAGAAAATTAGGGGAAAAAAGAGAGCTTACCAACTATGGAAAAAAATCCTGGCTACTCATGAAGAGTTTAGGAATATAGTTAGGTCATGTAGAAAGAAAATTAGTGAGAAAAAGGCACACTTTGAACTTAATCTAGCCACTTCTGTTAGGGATAACAAGAAGTGCTTCTACAAATACATCAATAGAAAAAGGAGGGGCAAGGAAAACCTCCATTTTTTGTTGGACATGGGGGGGAAAGTAGTCACCAAAGATGAGGAAAAGGTTGAGGTACTTAACACCTTCTTTGCCTCAGCTTTCAATAGTAAGACAGGTTGTCCTCAGGACAACTGGTCTCTGGAGCTGGTAGACAAAGACAGGAAGCTGAATAGCCCCCCTGTAATCCAGGAGGGAACAGTTTGCGATCTGCTGAGCCACTTGGATTCTCACAAGTCTATGGGACCAGATGGGATCCATCCTAGGGCTCAGCAAGCTGCTCTCCATCATTTACCAACAGTCCTGGTTCACTGGGGAGGTCTCAGATGATTGGAAGTTGGCAAATGTCATGCCCATCCACAAAAAGGGTTGCAAGGAGAACCCGGGAAATTACAGGCCTGTCAACCTGACCTCAGTGCCTGGCAAGGTTATGGAGCAGATCATGCTAAGTGCAATCCCACAGCACCTACAGGATGGACAGGGGATCAGACCCAGCCAGCATGGGTTTAGGAAGGGCAGGTCCTGTCTGATCAACATGATCTTTTATGACCAGGTGACCCTCCTGGTGGATGAGGGGAAGGCTGTGGATGTGGTCTACTTGGACTTCAGCAAAGCCTTTGACACCGTCTCCCATAGCATTCTCCTGAAAAAGCTGGTAGCCCACGGTTTGGACAGGTACACTCTCTGCTGGGTTAAGAACTGGTTGGAGGGTCGGGGCCAGAGAGGGGTGGTGAATGGTGCTGCATCCAGTTGGCAGCTGGTCACTAGTGGTGTCCCCCAGGGATCAGTGTTGGGCCCAGTTCTATTTAATATTTTTATTGATGATCTGGATGAGGGGATTGAGTCCACCATTAGCAAATTTGCAGATGACACCAAGTTGGTGGGGAGTGTTGATCTGTCAGAAGGCAGGAGGGCTCTTCAGAGGGACCTGGACAAGTTGGAGAGATGGTCTGATTCCAACAGGATGAGGTTCAACAAGACCAAGTGCCAAGCCCTGCACTTTGGTCACAATAACCCCATGCAGCGCTACAGGTTGGGGACAGAGTGGCTGGAGAGCAACCAGGCAGAAAGGGACCTGGGAGTTTGGATTGACAGGAAGTTGAACATGAGCTAGCAGTGTGCCCAGGTGGTCAAGAAGGCCAATGGCATCCTGGCCTGTATCAGGAACAGTGTGGCCAACAGGTCCAGGGAAGTGATTCTTCCCCTGTACTCAGCACTGGTGAGGCCACACCTGGAGTACTGTGTCCAGTTCTGGGCCCCTCAGTTCAGGAAGGATATTGAGGTGCTGGAGTAGGTCCAGAGAGGAGCAACAAGGCTGGTGAAGGGACTCGAGCACAAGACCTATGAGGAGAGGATGAGGGAGCTGGGGTTGTTTAGTCTGGAGAAGAGGAAGCTCAGGGGAGACCTCATCACTCTCTACCATTACCTGAAAGGAGGTTGTAGCCAGGTGGGGGTTGGTCTCTTCTCCCAGGCAGCTATCAGTAGGACAAGAGGGCGTGATCTTAAGCTCTGCCAAGGGAAGTTTAGGTTAGATATTAGGAAGAAATGTTTTACAGAGAGAGTGATTGGGCATTGGAATGGGCTGCCCAGGGAGGTGGTGGATTCACCATCCCTGGAGGTTTTTTAAGATGAGACTGGATGTGGTACTTAGTGCCATGGTCTAGTAACCACAGCAGTGTTGGATCAAGGGTTGGATTTGATGATCTCGGAGGTCTTTTCCAACCCAGTTGATTTTATGATTCTATGTTTCTACCAATATGTTATAGAGTAAAGTACAAGATTTAGTCCTGAAATCAGCATTTAGCACGCATAGAATAAGTTTCTTACCCAGTAGGCGTCCCTGTGGTGGTGATGGTGGGGAAGAGCAGTTCAGTCCATCAACTGTTCCCAGCAGTTTCAGTGCAGTCTTCCTTTAATTTTTCCTTATTTCCAACTTACTTTAATATTATTTCTTTAGGTTTAGGTGGAACTTGAGTGACTCTAGTAACAAGCACTTAATTGGGTAGTAGTCCTTGGCATCTATCTCCCTTGGTGGACAGATACTGTATGGTCTTTGAACTACAAAGTATCACCATGTTCCCCTCCCTGCAGGATGTTTATGGAGGGAGGCCGTGGTGCATTCACGCTACTCCCCTCTTCCATTCCATCCCCTGTAGCAGGTGTTTATCATTTTTTAGGGAACCTTTGTGGGGCAGGTCGACAGTGTTCCATCTGGGGAGCAGCAGCTGCATTTTACCCTCTAATTCTTAGTCTCCTCTAATTTTTAACCCTATCCATTGCTCCACAGGGAGGGTGCTGGTCGCAGCCCACTGCAGGCCAGGAAAACTCAAAGGGTCTCACTTTGGACTGCTGTTTATAGGGTCACAAGAGAGTTGGTTTTAGTCATAGTAATTTTCCATCCTCTCTGATATGTGAGAGAGATAATGCTTACAGAAATGCTACAGGGCCAGTGATAATAAAGTCTGAGAGCAAACAGGAGGTTTGCCTTTCCCCTGAGGCCCAGTGCTGTCTGTGCACTGTGAGATTTTTTGTAAGTTTTTGGTGTTCTGGCCTCTGAAATAAATCTTTTTGAATCCTTTCTATGCCTTGGCATTTCTGGGGCAAGTACCTGTGTATATTTTACCTTACGATATTATTTTAATTAACAAACATAGCCAAGTAAAACCCCTATAAGAAGACAGAGCAAAAGCAGTGAGTAAATCATGGCTGCCTTGCCATAAAACAGTACAGAACATAGGAATAAACTTAAGACACAAAAATGGCAGTTCAGATACACAGTAAAACAAAAGTCAGACAGATAAATGCTCCCTCTTAGCATATTCCACATCATAGGATATATTCACAAATAGTAGCTGGTACAGTGCTGTGGTTTGAATTCAGTATGAGAATAATGCTGATAACACACTGATGTTTTGGTTGTTGCTGAGCAGTGCTTACCCTGAGTCAAGGACTTTTCAGTGTCTCATGCTCTGCCAGTAAGCAGGTGCACAAGAAGCTGTGAGGGAGCATGGCCAGGACAACTGACCCAAACTGGCCAAAGGGATATTCCATACCATAGAACATCATGCCGAGTATATTAACTGGGGGAAATTGGCCAGAAGGGGCCAATTGCTGCTTGGGAACCATCTAAGTAAGCATCAGTCAATGGAGTCACAGGCAGCCCAGTGGTGCCACAGTTGATATTGCCAATGCATTTTTCTCAGTCTCTTTGGCAGCAGAGTTCAGGCCAGTTTGTTTTCACTTGGAGGGGCGTCCAGTACACCTGGAATCAACTGCCCCAGAAGTGGAAACAAAGCACTACCATCTGCCATGGACTGATCCAGACTGCACCGAAACAGGGTGAAACTCTGGGACACCTGCAATACATTGATGATATCATTGTGTGGGGCAATACAGCAGAAATAGTTTTTCAGAAAAGGAAGAAAATAGTTCAAATCCTTCTGAAAGCTGGTTTTGCCATAAAACAGAGGAAGGTAAAGGGGCCTGCACAGGAGATCCAGCTTTTAGGAATAAAATGGCAAGATGGATGCAATCAGATCCCAACAGATGTAATTAACAAAATAACATTGATATCTCCATCAACTAACAAGAAAGAAACACAAGCCTTTTTAGGCATTGTGGGATTTTTGAGAATGCACATTCCAAATTACAATCTGATTGTCAGCCCCAACTACCAAGTGACCCAGGATAATAATGATTTCAAATGGGGCCCTGAACAATGACAAGCCTTTCAACAAATTAAACAGGAAATAGTTCATGCTGTAGCTCTCAGGCCAGTCCTGACAGGCCAAGATGCAAAAAATGTGCTCTACACTGCAGCTAAGGAGAATGGCCCGACCTGGAGCCTCTGGTAGAAAGCACAAGGGGAGAGTCAATCCCTCAAAATTCCGTTAGCTGTTTAGTCTTCTTTTCAAGGTAGAATTGCAGAAAAACACCTAAATCATGGGACATTTCAGCAATCTTTGACACCTTCGAAGATGTTACAGCTGCCTGTTATGTCAGCACAGGTGGATCCATTATGGCCCATCAGCAGAGATGAATATCTTCAGGCCATGTGTGTGAATTGTCCTGATGCTTCCCCCAAGGGGAGTTATCACAGATGAGTCATTTGTGTAAGGACAAAGAAACAACACCCAGCTCATAGCCTGAGGTGGCAGGTGTGCAGACCGTCAACACCTGGATTGTTTGAGTCGTCAGCATTCCAGTCTTTCACACTTGTGGATACATTCTTCTCCTAGGATAATAGTACCACCCTTATCTTAAATTCCCCACCACAGTCTAAATTAGTAGGCATATTTGGGGAAAAGAGAAAAGGTGGATACCAGAATCTCTGTGTAACCCAGGACAGACCTCTAAGATCATCGAGTCCAATCATTAACCTAGCACCTGCTGTGTTCACCACTGAACCATGTCCCCCAGTTCCACATCCACGCATTTTTGATCACTTCCAGGGATAATGATTCCACCACTTCCCTGGGAAGCTTGTTTCAATGCCTGACCACCCTTTCAGTGAAGAAATTCTTCTTTGTATCCAATGTAAACCTCGCCTGGCACAACTTGAGGCCATTTCCTCTCATCCTGTCAGTTGTTACCTGGGAGAGGAGACAGACACTCATCTTGCTACAATCTCCTTTCAGGCAGTTGTAGAGACTAATAAGGTCCTCCTTTTCTCCAGGCTAAACAACCCCAGTTCCCTCAGCTGCTCTTCATAAGATTTGTGCTCCAGACTCTTCACTGGCTTTGTTGCCCTTCTCTGGACAAGCTCCAGCACCTCAGTGTCTTTCTTGTAGTGAGAGGCCCAAAAATGAACACAGGATTCGAGGTGCAGCCTCACCAGTGCCGAGTACATGCTATCCTGACAGTTCTAACAGTCCCCTTTTCACCCTTTGTAGCATATCTCTATCAGATGGTAAATTGGGATCCCATCCTGGCTCATTAGCTGGCATAAATAGCTCAGCTTAATATTATCAAAAGAATCAGACTGTGGCCACTTTTGGTCTGCGTCACCAAAGGTAGTCACTTCTGGCCAATTTTCCTGACAGTTCTATAGCTTGGGCTTTTGACAACCCACCTGATCCATCAACAGATTCTCAGTGTTGCAACAATTCATTAATCAGTGATGACTTCATTATACTTTGTCCTCCTCCCATTATTATAAAAAAATCACCTTACCACCAAACAAGATCCACACTACACTACTCCTGTGCCCGAGTATCTCGAGGTGAACTCACAGAACAGGAGGGCAGATTGTTGGGATCCAGGCAGTAGTGAGATGTTGGATTGAGTGAGTTGGCTAAATCCCAACTGGGTTGCCAAACTGTCACAAAAATTTCACAACTGTCCCATGCTGACTGAGGAGAGAGGCTTGGACACAAATATAGAACTGCAAGAGTAATTCTTTATTCATGTACATGAGGTGTCCCATTCAAATCAGGGCACCCTGAATGAGGTTTTACGCGATTCTTATAACTTTCAAACATTCAGGTACAACACGATTTGACCAATCACTACTTAACACACACACACACACAACTATTTTGAAAAGCAACTATAATTATATGTCGTCATCATCCACCTGCTTCTTTCTAGATCTAGGTATCCCTGCCCTGGAGTTGGTCCTGCTACAGTTACTTGTCTATGATGCCAGATAATGGGACGTTTTCACAGAGGTGTTTGGAGGGGCTAGGATGCTGACATTATCTCAGTAGTCCAGGGATATTCTTTCTTCTTTGTGGATGGTTTTAAGATTTTGAGAAACAAAAGGTCCTTATCTTCCACATGGGGGCTGTCCTTCTCCTCCTTGAAGTGAGCTGGGGTCCTTTAGTTATGCTGACTTAACAATGTTTATGCAATATACAATGTAAAATATATATCTCTTAAAAAGCTAATACAATTTCATGTTATAAAGACAAATTGGTACAACTGTTAGGAAATACAATTTCCCTAACAAAGCTCTTCCTGTTACTCTTGACATTTCTTGCAAGTCTCAACTCCAACAGAGCTTTAACTTTCCTGATACCATCCCTATATGGCTGGGCAATGTTTCTCAGTTTCTCCTCTGTAGCTTGTTTCTGCTTTCATCCTCTGCATACTGCTTTTATGTGTTGGAGTTTCATTATTAGTGCCTGTCCTAGTAAGAACAGCTGGGATCAGTTCATCACTGTGTGGGTGTAACCCAAACTGTGTATTCTACACCCTCCGTGTCATTTCCCAGAAACTGTTACCAATAAACCATTTGCAGCAGCTGCCCAGAGCACACCTGACCCCTCAGGCTATAAGCTGGGTGTTAAGAGGCCTGTGAGATAGGAGGGTGTTCCTGTCCTCACACCCACGAGTCACAATCACCCATTGTGGAACTCCCCGCCCTGGGGGAGGTGCTGGGCATTCCTGCCTGTGGGGGGAGATGGCAGGCCCATAGAACCCCTGGACCCCCTGGAAGTAGAGGAGCTTGAAGCGTTACAGGGTGTAAGACCGTTCCCTTGAGAAAAGTGAAGATAACTACACATTCCCATAGATACAGCCCTGAGTACTAGACAATACAAGGTCAGAGCTGCTTGGCAAATCGCAGGTGTTACATTCCGGAGTGTTTTGTGAGAACGTGTTTATAGTATGTGTGTGAGAAAGTAGAAGTTAGCACTTAATAAAAAGCTGCCTGCTATGCTGAGCAGGCAGACATCTCTTTGTCTCACCGTCTTAGTGTGTCTTGTGTGTCATTCTTCCCCCCTTCGGACCGAAGCCTTCGACAGATACCCAGCAACACCTGCCTGAACCTGAGGGTATATAATCTTGGGGTCTTGGGACTTCTGCTACCACTCGTGGGATCCAGAGGAGTACCAGAACCTCAACCGGACTGTGACCACCACTCTCAACCAGACTGAGACCATGTCATGGTTTGAAATTGGCCCCCCCTGAGAGGCTGGGAGGCTCAGAGGTGATTGGGTGCCAGGGCAGTGTTCCCTGGAGAGCCAATCACTGTCCATGTTGTTCGCTTATGCTCAAAATCATATATCACAGCCCCGGAAGCTGTTGGCAGTCTTAGTGTTGTGCTGTTGGTGTCTGCTGTGTGTAGGTGGAGAAGGCCAGGGGGTGGCTGGGTCCGACGGATTAGTGGGATGGGGGAGACCTCCAGGTCTTAGTCTGCTAGCCCATTACCTGCAAGGTGAATGCCCTTCCCCCCGCCCCAGCACGTGGTCCGCGACCCCGCAAGGAGCACACAGACCACCAGGGAGGGACGGATGAAAGAGGAAGTTTATTGTGGGGTAGGGGTTTATAAGGCTTTCAGGAGGGTCAAAAGGGGACCAATCACAAGTTCAGGGTCACATAGAAAAAAACAATCAGGTGAAGGGTCAACAGCCAATAGGAAGGGGTTAACAAAGGCCAATGGGAAACACCTCAGGACACCTTCCCAGGACACCTTGTATGGGAGCACAGGGGGTGTCGGGAAGAAGATCAATGACTGCAAAAAGGTAAAAGCCATTTTAAAACCTGTTTAAACCACATTAAAAGCTTCGGTTTCTATAACATTTGAACTATTTTCATTTTCTTCACTAGTCCATCTCTGACAGGACTTCTTCCATCCTGCATATGGCAAATCCATTGCCACATCTCCTCCTTTTCTGTTTTCTAAAGCTGGATATGCTTTTAATGATTGAGAGGTTCTGGCACAACTGAGTAAGCATGGAAAGACACACATAAAGAGAAACACTACGGAAAGTCCTAGTACGATAACTACAATAATTTTCTTAATAATGAAAGAGAGGCCTTTGAAGGGCAACCAGTTGAAAAAATCGTCAAAGGTCAGATGATCAACCTGCTTGATTTCATGAACTAAGGACTTAAGCTGATTAATCTGGGAGTGGATAGATTGGGAGTGATCAGAGAAGTTGAGGCAGCAGAGGCCTTCAAACTCCTGACACCCATGGCCATTTACTAAAAGGAGAAAATCTATTGCAGCACGATTTTGTAACAAGGCTTTGGGTATCTTGTAATAGATCATCAAGGGCAGCACTGGTGGCATTAGCTTCTTTTGCAAGCCAACATCCCATTCTGGTAAGGAGCGTTAAGGCTTTTGTGGAGCTGAGAACTGGAAGCATACCACTTAGAACGTTTTATGGTGTCGGACCAAAAATGCATGTTGGAATTGCATTCTGCTGTGAATTCACTCAAGGACTGCAGTTTTGCTAAAGGATGTTCTTCAGCTGAAGGTGGGGGTGCTACAGCCACAGGGACCTGTGCTGCTTTAGGTGGAGAAAGTGTTTTTGGTTGTGATGGATAGAAGTTAAGAGATGGGTATAAACCTTGGAATTGCCTGCACACTCTATGATGTGGGAAAGGTGAGGTTGTTTGAAGGTTAATGTTTCTTTTAGCACGATTTTTGGGAGGCCTTATAGGTAAAGATTTCATAAGGGTAGTTGGATTGTACAGTGTTAATTTTCCAAATGTGCAGGGGCCTCCAGCAACTAATCTAGGAATCATATTCCAGACTCTAAGTCCACAAATTAAAAAGACTCCTTTTGGAAGAATAACTGAATCAGGGGTAGCATGTATCTGGTAAGGAACCTCTTCCTTGCACCAGAAACTGAAGTTGGAATAAGGTCCATAAGAGGTGACATTAATTAATTCAGGAGGGGCAACATATTTGTTGTGAATGAAGTAAAAACAGAGAGGAGATATGATACTCCCCAAGATTTCTAATTCCTCAGGTCTCTGCCACTGATAGCTAAATGTCTGTCTGTCATGTGAAGTTTTTGCTGGTCTTGTGAGACAATCTAAGAATGGATTTTTAAACTGATCATGGTCATCACACCAGGGGATATATTGATTTCTAAAATCACCCCATTCTCTTGGCATCCAGGGGATTCCTACCAGACAGGTCTTAAAAGGGTGAGAGGGATCTAAGGTAGAGAGACAGATAGAGTCAGTATTCAGTGATTGTGCCAGGTTTAGCCAAACATTTTGGCCAGAGAGCATTACCCAATTTGGAATTGCTGGAGGAGGTGTGGCAAGGGCTCCTGACGTTGTCTTTCTGATTTGCTGGTGTTATGCTGCACGCAAAAAACAGGATTATCCCGAAGGTGATGCTGATGGGGGATCGCTTCCTGTAGTTGGTGCTGAATCCATTGTTGCTGGATCTGCTGCTGGTTGAGCTGGGAGGGAAACTTCTTGGTGGATTCTTACTAGTCTGGACGGTATCCATCTTGGACCTGTTCCTGTGGAGACGCAAGCATGCCCTCTTCCCCAAACAATTAGG